AAAAACATTTTTCCCTCAGTTCTTGGTGGTCTTCTTCTGCCCCATCCCTTTTGTCCAACAAAATTTTAAACGGGGCGATGACATTTTAATCACCGGCCCTTTTTAAACCCCCAATCCTCACTGGGGGCGGAGACATCCCCTTAGTGAAGATCGCTTAACTTTTAACTGCGTGAGCTCCTTCTCTGTATATATTGGGGACACCGTTTACAAGATGAAAGGTGACCCTACTCGCAACAGTGTTAAAATTGGGGCTTTTTTGGTTATCCAGCAAAATAGCGGGGCCCCATAGTAACGCCCAGTCTGTGGCCGAACCACATAAATAGTCTTTATCACCTCCCCTACCTAATTGTGATAAAGGCCACTCAGCTTACCTCGCCGTCCCCAATTTACTTAAACGAACACAAAATCCTTTTTGTGCAAAGAGGCAAAAGGGCCTCCAAATCAATGGCAGCTCTTTTCATGCCCCCAAAGGAAAACTTCCCCGTATTTCTTTTTCTCGAGCACTAAACTCCGCTCCTCGGGGGCCCAGCTTCTGCAGCCTCCTCTGGGTTACCCCTTCCACGCCACTCTTGTCTCAATTCTTTTGCTGTTCTGGATCAGAAGTCCCTACCTCAAAACCTCTTTTTGTTTTCCTTCTTTTCTTCTCACTCAAAACACTTCCCCCCAATCACCCCTCTGCTTCCAAAGTCCAAAAAATCTCCATTTCCCCCAAATCTTTTTTAACCCTTCCTCCCCTTTTTCCTCCCCGCAGTTTACCTTTTTAGTCCCGTACGTGGTTCTTCACCTAAACGGACTGTTTTCAAGAGGGAGGTTCACCCTCCTCCTTTTTCTGTTCTTCCTTTTTCCCGTCCCCCCAGTTTGTTCCCTTTTTTCCCCTTCCCAAGTTTCTTCCCCTTCTGCCCCCCCAATGCTTCTTCTCCATTTACCACCCTTTCGCCCCCCCCCAATTTGGTAGGTCCATTTCATTCCAATATTTCTCACCTCCTCCTTCCATCTCCAATATTGTCTCCCACAACACGTCCTTGTCTTCCAAAATACTGAATGCTATCTCAGAATATACTGCTGAAACTGGACCATCAATGAACACCGATCCATCTCATGTTCCTCCTCTTCCCTCTTCTCTATCTGCACAACTCTTCTCTTTGCAGCATCCCATTCCTTCGCTGCTTGACCGTTTTAAGCTGCCGCCACATGTGGACTTTTCTAACCTTTCTAGTCCATAGCTACCTTTACCTGCAGATTTCTTGTATCTTTCTCATTAAAAATCATGGCTTATTTACAGTGGAATATCCGTGGCCTCAGAAGTAACCGGGGTGAGCTTCAGGTGCTGCTCTCCCAGTTTTCCGCTGTTGGTGTTTGTTTACAAGAACCCAAATTACACTCTGCTGTTATCCATCCTATCTCAGGCTATGATTTATTGTATTCATCAGATCCTTTTTCCGATGGAACCATTAATTAAAGTGCCCTTCTGACACACACTGATATTCCATACCGTCAGCTCTTTGTTCATACTTCGCTGCATTACACTGCAGCCCGTATCCACTTGAATAAGTGGTATATAATCTGTTTTTTGTATCTCTCCTTCTCAGGCATTATCTATCCCAGGTGTTGTCTTTCTAATTTCATCCTTACCGCCACCACTTCTGTTGGTTGGCGATTTTAATGGCCACCATTTCCTCATGGGGGTCTCACTGTGACTCCCGCGGCATTCAGTTAGAGACTTTTCTCGTTTTTCTTCACCTCGATGTTTTAAATACAGGTTCTCCCACCCGTTTTGATCCTCGTACTCATTCTCTTGCATCGACTTCATCTGGTCTGTCCTCCCGGACTTGCATGATGGCGATCATTTCCCATTCATCCTTACTTCTCCATCGTATTCCCCACCTCCTCGTAGCCCAAGCTGGCAATTTGACTGGGCGAATTGGGATCTTTATGCAAGTCTAACTGCTTTTAATGAGGCTCCTTCCTTATCCTCCATTGATGAGATTTTACTCCTCTTCTCGACCTCGCTCTTAACTGCAGCTTCACATTCTATACCCTTCACTTCTATATGCTCGCACTTCTTCTCAGATGTTCGTACCTTGGTGATCTGCTGCTTGTGCTCGGGCAGTACGTTTGAAATGCGCTACGTGGGCAGGTAGTGGTACAACAGAAGCACAGAGAAACTCCTTGATTTTAAACAGAATAGAGCTGTTACTTGCCATGTCATCCATGACGCTAAAAGCACTTGCTGGTGGGATTATGTTTCTACCATCACTTCAGCTTCCTCTATGAGTGCAATCTGGAACAAAATATGGAAACCGAGTGGTAAATACTCCCTCGACCCAGCTCCTAACCTTCGGGTTGCTGGTGTCGATATAGCAAACCCTCTTGACGTTGCCACTGACATTGGTAATCATCTGGTCTGTATGTCTTGGGGGTTCCATCTATGCCCCTCGTTTCTTTCCTCCAAGTCTGTCAGAGAGCTAGAACCCTCAAATTTTCTTCTCTCAAAGAAGAATTATATAATGTGCCTTTCACTCTTCTGGAACTGGAAGCAACACTCTCTGCGTGCCGATCATCGGCAGCTGGGCCTGATGGCATTCTTATTCGTATGCTACTGCATTTACATCAGTCAGCCCTTGTAGTCCTCTTACTGTTTAATCTTATTTGGTCACAAGGAGTTCTTCCCCAGCTGTGGAACTCTGCCATTGTTCTACCTTTTCACAAACCTGACTATGGGACATGATGCCTCCTTCTACCGTCCCATTGCTCTTAAATTTTCTAGTAGTAAAATTTACCAAATTACTTTCACTAGATGTTCAGCCGTCTCTGATCATTATTTGTACCTATACGGATCATGTATCCCAGAACGTTGATAAGGTCAGGTTTCTCGGCCTTCTGTTTAACCGTAGGTTATCCTGGAAACCTCATATAACTTCCTGAAGGCAACTTGTCATAGCCAGCAGAACCTAAAAACACTCGTTCATCTTTCGTGGGGAGCTGATCGTAGAACTCTCCTTCACTTACATTCAGCCCTAATTTTATCGAAACTTAATTATGGTGACAAAATCTATTCTGCGGCCTATCCTGCAACTCTCTCTAGCCTTAATCCCATCCATCACCAGGGATTACGTTTTTGCCTCGGTGTGCTTCGCTCTTCGCCTGTTGAGAGACTCTATGCAGAAGTAAATATTCCATCCTTATCCGATCGTCATGATGCTAATTACCTTCACTATTATGTACGATCTCATGACCTTCACAATCATTCCATGTATAGGATAGCCACTGATGTAAGCAGACGTTCTTTGTTTGTTAGTCGCCCCTGTTTACTCCGTCCCTTTTCTCTCCTCCTGCATTCGCTCTTGTCTTTTCTTCAGTTACCACCTTTCTGTGTTCATGTAACATCTCACTTTTCCCTTCTCCCTTGGGAAGTTCCAGTTGTTCGTGTCTGTTCTTTCCCACTGCCATGCACGTAAGCCCAACTACCTACAGTGGCTTCCTGCTCTCATTTTCTTGACCATTTCTCCTCTCATTCTTGTGCCATCGCAGTGTACACCAATGGCTCTAAGTCTTCTGACAGCGTCGGATTTGCAGCAGTGTTTCCCGACAGTGTCGTGCGAGGGCATGTATTATCCTCGGCATTTTTATGGCTGAATTGTATGCCATTCTTGTAGCACTTATCTGTATTGTATCTATGCCTGTGCCACCATCTGTGGTCATTTCAAACTCCCTTAGTGCTTTACAGGCTATACAAAAATTTGATGCACCTCACACCCAAGTTCTTCGTATCCAACTTTGGTTACGTCATATCTCTAGCATGGTTATGATGACGTTCAAGGCAATGAACAGGCAGACACTGCTGCGTGGTCAGCAGTACATGACCTCCCAGTTTCAGGTAGAGGTGTTCCATTCATAGACTATTTTGCTCTAACTGCTACTCACTTTTGTACCTGTTGGCAAAAACATTGGTCTGATCACCTCCATAACAAACGTCATTCTATTAAACCGAGTGTACGTTTCTGGGCATCTTCATGTCATTAATGTCGAGGTTGGGAGACTACTCTCTCTCTTCTTCGCATCGGCCACTCTCGTCTTACTCACGGGTATCTCATGGAGAGGCGCCCTATTCCTGTCTGTGAGCATTTCCAGGTTCCAGTATCTGTTAGCCACATTCTGTTAGACTGCTCACTCTATCAACGAGTACACAGAAGTTACCTCCAACTCCACTGTTCTTTCTTTACCTTCCCTTCTTGCTGATGGACCCTCCTTTAATCCAGACTCATTGACTTTTTGACAGCAACTGATTTAGTATACAAACTCTGATGATGATACCTCTAGCACTCTCCTCAGTCCTTTCTACCTCAAACTCTAGCTACGTTCTACCCCTGCACTATCCACTGCCCTGCTGCACTCCATAACCTAATAATCATCCCTCTCCATCTTGCTACCCAATACCAGTGCATCCTTGTCCTGCTGCGCTGTATAACCCTTGTGGTTTAGCGATTCTCTTTCATTATAATGATAATAATTAGAAAACCTGCAAGTTAAATAATGAGAAACTTGGGCACAATTTCGGAGTTCTTCAATACCTGCCTAAACTGTAGTCATGACCTACTTAAACTAGTGGAATTTCCCACTAATGGCTCCACTTCCTTCTGCTTCAACTCACCTGATTTCAGTATATAAATCAAGCATATGCTCTACTTTTCTCAAGATTGAACACATCAGCTCCCAGCTGAGGAACTGATTACCTCAAACTCCTCCTTATCTTCCACTGTTCTTCTCTGTACTGCATTAAAGAAGCCAGTGGTTGGCGAAAAGATTCCACAGTAAAGATTCCCAAATATTGCTCAAGTATATCAATCTTCAGTAGTGTGAGAAAACACCTTGTAATAGCCTTTTAAGTAATAAGCGAAAACCATGATGGATGAAAAACAAATCAGACAAAAACCAGTTGAGTCCTCATTAAAGGAAACGTTCGTTATTAATTGTATATATAAAAATATATTTGCTATTACCTCAGCTTGGGTGCTGCACTTGGCCTCATCAGTATACCATGAAGAGTTTGAAGTGATGATGCAACTCAAAGCAACACCGACCAGCCGTCCTGTTGTTTGTTCTCTGCTGCCCACTGACACTCCAGACTCCAGACATTGTTTAATATCTTCTTCATCTCTTCTGGTGGCTGAGGTAACACCAACACTCATGTACTACAAGTGTGAAAATAATGCCAGTGAAAATACAAAGGAAAAAAATGTAAGAATTTATTAAGATATTTTCTCATTAAATTTTTCGTTATTACTGATAATCAATTATTCACCAAAATTAGAAATTATTGGATTATCAAGTATCAAACAATGTTCAGTTTTACATAATTAATGTTAATCTGTTTTGCATACACAAAGTTCAGTTTTAATGGTAATTTTCCTTTATTATCTACCTATCCAATATTTATTTTCTTATACTGTACTTCAGTTCTTGGAATTCCTTTCAAAGTTTTCAATGCTTAATTCATAATATATTAATGTTCATGTAATTTAAGTCCCTTTCTCTTTCAAAACTCTAATTATATTATTTTTCTAAACCTACTGTAACCTTCTCCATCTGCAGTGACTTTACGTTATGTTATATATTGGATAATATGTAGTATAATGTAATACAACATTTCTCTCCATGGTTAAACATAGGTAATACTAAATGAAGGTAAGTGACATTGTAAAGCAGGATAATATCTTGTGTGGTTTTATTCTCTCTCTCCCGCTGCACACACACACACACACACACACACACACACACACACACACACACATATCATGTGGGAGTTTGATACGTGGATAGGGTAAAGTAATACTCACGTAGGCTGGTAGTACGTATAATTACAGATAATGTGGGGAGCGCCCAACAGCCTGCCTATCTCCTTGCTCACTCTCGTATAACTGACTGGCCGCCCACAATACCCATATGTGAGGGGGTCTTTGAATACTGCTGTGGTCAGCACAATATGACTACAGACAGTGACTCAGGCAGAGACGGTTGGTAGTGAGTCATCTACTGGTACACTGGTTACTGGTAACTGGTTACTACTACTGAGAGCTCGGCGACGCTAACGTATGTCATCCCGACATACAACTAATACAAACTGGAGATGGCAGGTGTATGGCTTGGGCTGATTCTATACAATGTCAAAGTACACAACAATTAAACATTATAACACACATAAGTAGAACATTGGAATGGAAGCTTACGTAACTGAAACTGTAATGCAATACAAGGTATAATATAGCACAACTCATCGAATGAAACTCAACGTTGAGATTACACAATAGAAGTGATAAAAAAAATTTGATCGATCGATCTGTATTCAAGTGATCTACGGATTCTGAGAAAGGAATATATACAAAGAAAGAGTGTTTAACAGAAAGGCAGATTCGGTGCACTCAAATCTAGACTGTTAACTCTCAGAATGCGGAGAGAACATGAACACAAAAAAAAAATTCTTGAATACTGATAAGTTGATACTGTAATTATTCATCTATACAGGTTATTTACATTTAACCCCAACTCTTCTAGGGTGAGATTGACATATGCAGAATGAGTGTCATCTCTGGGAGGATCAAACTCTGTAGCATTGGCTAACTCATGCTGTATTTGAGGCAAATCTGAATTGGATGTTACAAATGATACTTGAGGATTTCTCAATACCTGTCGTGTACGTAGGGAATAACGACATTCAGGTTGATCGTCTGACTGAATATCAGAGGAAGAGAGTACAGGATCAGGAGGATTGTTAGAGTCTGTCACATTAGTCTGGGTTGGAACATCATTATCATCACATACTAACTTCATATGATCTAAATGCGATTCTTTATACTGACCAGTACTAATCTCTCTAACCTTATACTTATTACCAGTGATATGTTGAACTACTCGATAAGGACCAACAAACTTTTGATCAAGCTTTGGCATTGCAGATGTTTTGTTAAAGTTAATCAGCATAACTCTCGAGCCTACTTTGATTTTGGATGGCTTTGCTCGAGTGTTTGCGACTCTTGTAAATTCTGCTGTTGATTATGAAGTGTATTCACGGATTCTTCTAAAAACGCTTTGAGCTAAGCTGGTACGAGTTGCTATGAAATCATCAGGGTTGTAATTTGGTTTCGGATTAGAATATAACAACTCATAAGGCAAACGTTTATCTACACCGTACAATGCATAATGTGGAGTGTCACCTATAGAAACATTGTAAGCAGAATTTATAGCACACTGCACATCAGGTATAACTTCATCCCAAGTTTCACTGTTGGGATTGATAGTGGCTCTCAAGACATCAAGTACTTTCTTATTGGTTCATTCCGCTAACCCATTGCTGGCAGGATGATGAGGAACAATGGTGGATTTAGAGATCTTGTACAAGGTACACAAATTTTCAAGAATCTCATTACAGAATTCACCTCCATTATCTGTTACTAGGGACTTAGGGGTGGTATGCCTGCAGATAATGTGTTCTTTAACGCTTTAGCTACTGTCTCGGCAGTCTTATCTGCAATAGGAACTAACTCACAATATCTGGTGAAATGGTCTACCATAACACACAGATGTTTGTTGCCTTGGAGGGAACATTGGAAATTAGTTAACAAATCTAGCGCAACTCTTTCCCACGGTTCGCTAGTAGTTGGATATACTTGGATTGGATTAGGACCATTAGCATTACCTTTATGTTGCATGCAGACACTACATTTCTTAACATACTCAGAAATATCAGTTGCCATACGAGGCCAAATATATTTCAATCTGGCTTGTTTTACTGAACGATCCATACCAGGGTGTGCAACACCTGGTACATCGTGAACTAGCTGTAAGGCTACATTCACTAGTGACTGTGGAATTACTAACTGGTATACTCTTCTGCTAGGAGTACCCAACTCGGCTGTTCGATACAGTAATTCTTGGTTCATGACAAAGTCACTGATGGGTGCTGGTGGCTTCACAGTCAGAATAAGATCTTCCTGGAGCAGGAATCGAATCACACCAGACCACATGGGATCTGTTCGTTGAGCATTCTTTACATCTTCAGAACTAAATGGAGGGTCTGCAGTTACTATACTAACATGTCACGATAAGGCATCTGCGACTACATTTGACTTGCCAGGTAAATGCTCAAAGGTGGGATTGAACTCTTGGATAGTCAAGGTCCATCTGGCTAACCTTCCAGTAGGTTGTTTGTTCTGGAATAAGGGTATCAGTGGAGCATGGTCTGTCAAGACATGAACAGAGTACTGATAAATAATGTCTTGGAAGTGCTTTAAAGACCATACTATTGCTAAAGCTTCTTGCTCAGTTACTGTATAATTACGTTCAGCCTTCGTAAGGACTCGGCTAGCAAATGCAACTACGTTGTACTTGCCATCGGTCTTCTGAGCTAGTACGGCACCTATGCCAATTGAACTAGCATCAGTTGTCAGATAGAAGGGCTTAGAAAAATCTGGAAATTTCAAAATTGGAGCAGATGTTAGCTTTTCTTTTAGAGTTTGGAATGCTCTTTCTTGACGGAAGGTCCAAACAAAAGGAGCATCTTTCTTAAGCAACTCAGTTAGAGGAGCAGCTATGGAAGAAAAATTGTCAATGAAAGATCTAGAAAAACCTGCTAAGCCCACAAAGGATCTTACGGCATCAGCAGTTTTGGGTGTTGGAAAATTTAGTACTGCAGTTACTTTATTTTGGTCAGTCGTAACCCCTCTAGGAGTGACTACGTGACCAAGAAACTTAATTTCTGATCTGAAAAACTGACATTTAGACAGTTTGATCTTTAAATTGGCTTCTTCAAGCTTACCAAGTACTACATCAAGTCTTTTCAAGTGTGTATCCACGTCTTTAGACATGACGATTACGTCATCTAAGTACACCATAAGTGCATTACCTATGAGACCTCTAAAGATATTAGTCATGAGCCTTGAGAACGTGATAGGGGAGGATCGTAATCCAAATGCCATACGGAGGAAGTGATAATGACCTGTAGGAGTGGAGAATGCAGTTAGCTCTTGGCTGTCCTCGTGAAGAGGGACTTGCCAAAACCCTTGTAACAAATCCAGGGTTGAAAAGACTTTGTTATCTCCGATGTTACATAAAAGATCACCCAGTACAGGAAGTGGGAAGCGATCTGGAATGGTTTTCGCATTTAACTTCCTAAAGTCAATCACTGGGCGCCAAGTACCATCCTTCTTAGGTGCTAGGATCAAGGGTGCAGTCCAAGGTGAATTGCTAGGTGCAATAACTCCATCATCAAGCATTTGATTGATCAATTCTTCTGCGACAGCAACTTGTGAATGAGGCATTCTGTATGCAGGTATGTAGATAGGTCTAGTACCAGGTTCAAGTGGAATACGATGGGACAATAAGTTCGTTATACCCATCTTCTCACCTGGTAAGGCAATGGCTTTACGACGTTTGTTCAACAGAGTCAACAAACGCTTGACTTCATCTGGGAAGTCAGTGGGAGCTAAGTCTTTCTCCTCAACTGGTGGAACAGATTGATCCAGTGAAGTGGATGAGGTCTCCCCGGTAGAAATAGCACCGACCCACTGGTCAGGTGACAACTCATCCTCTACCTGAACAGGGTAAGGATAGTGAACAAGGTCAACAAGATTGGTATTTGCTCTGAGGCGAACACTGTGACCAGTAGTGTTGGCTAGGAAGAAATGGATCTTACTATCTCTTACAACATGTAAGGATGGTTCAACAAATAGGCCTTTTACTTTGCAAGAATCACTGTCAACTAGGACGTTATCACCATCTGAAACACTAGGAACAACAACAGACACTCTAGTGAGGGCACTAGCTGCGACAGAAACGTCTTTCTGCAGACGGCATGTGACATCAACAAGAGATGGCATTACTAGTTGCAAGTAATTGTTTTCTGACAAGGCGTCCCCTGTGGAGAAATTACTACTTGAACTAGCAGACATTGCAGGGATAGGCTCAGCACTCAAGGTAGTCAGAGCGTCCTCGGACACTTGAGGTAACTGGACACTATCTTGCAAGTCTGAAGTTGCAGGAACACAGACAGAAGCGACAGGATCATCAGTGCCTGACCGCTTGGGTACGCTACTGGAAAATGCACTGGCCTGTAAGGACTTAATTCGAGTGTCATACTCTGCGGCAGTATGGCAGATCTCGGATCCAAGCTGGTAACCCCAGAATGGAACGATCAAGT